GGTAAAAACTTTTTTTTTACAAAAAAAACTACAAACGATAGGCAAATATACAGTGCATAGAACAGGAAAGTCAGACGGCCTATAAATGAAGTATTGTTGAACATTAACATTTTTTTTTTAATGGAGGCACTGGTACTGGGGATTGACCCCAGGACCTCATGCATGCTAAGCATTCTCTCTACCACTGAGCTATACCCCGCCCCTTACATTAATGTTTTGATTTACCAAATTGGCAGAGATTTTTAAAATATGTAAGTACTTTATGGTGAAATGGACATTTTCATATCTAGCTGATGAGAGAATAGGTCAGTTATTACCTTTAAAAATATTTGTAAAAAATTAGCAATCAGTAGTTCAGTCTTCAAAATATTTGCATACTAAAACCAAGCTATTCTATTTTGGAAATCTATCTGAAGGAAATGAAAAAAATGCCACCCCCTCCCAAAAAAGTTTAAATTATGATATATCCATATGATAGAGTCTTCTACATGCATTAAAATGCTTTTGGATAATTTGGGTGAAATGCTTGGTATATAATGAGTAATAAAACAAAGAAACAAAAATTCACCCAGGATATGAAACATTGTATGATCACAGTAATAGCCAATGAAAAAGGACTGGCAAGAGATACTCCCATCTCTTAATGGTAATAGTCTCCAGAATGTAGGATTGAAGGTAATTTTTATTTTATAATTAGAAACTACTTTTTATTTTGAAACCTTTTAAAAATTAAAATGCACTAAATACATTAATTGCATAAACACAATAAATTATAATGAAGGAAAGGAGAATGAGAGAACAGCTTGAGGAGCAGTAAGATTGAGGAAATATTTTAATTGTATTTATGAACTGAGAAGAAAGATCTAAAAGAAGGGAGACGATGGAAGATACAGGTAAGGTGTTAAATAATGGTGAAAAGTCTTAGAGGACATATATGTGTCCTGAAATCAAGAACACAGACAGATTAGTCCTGAAGAAGTGAAGAGAAATTTTCTTTTCCCCATAGATGGGAAACAAACAAAATGATTAGTGGCACAGAGAAATTTTAAAGTAGAGAAGATAGTTGAAGGATCACTAATAATCATTTTAGAGAAGAGGCGGAGTCAGGATAATCTACAAATTGGGTTTTAGATGTTTGAGGAGATGGAAAAAATTTTCAGTGAGCAATGGGAATGTGGCCAGGAGGAGATTAGAGATGTAGAAAATGACTGGTTTTCAAGCAGTATTGATACCCCAAATTGAAGTTGTTGAATGATGTGAACTGTAAAAAGCCCATGATGCCCCAGTCTCTTTGAAGTGATCAAGCTTTAGGAAATTGTAGTTTGTCAGATTAAAAGGATATGGACTGAAGAAGCACAGTAGTAACTTTTTTTGTCTTTTACCTAGATCTGTATAATTGTACAGGACCTAATAAAAGCTCTTTACCCTACCAAATTACTATTAAACTTTTTATTACTGTTAATTTTAATGCCAGTATGCCAATCCCATTGAACCTATGGTTTAAATTGTCATAATCATCTGTCATTTCTCATTCTTTAGCTTCCAGGAGACTTGATTTGTGATTTCTTTTTTGAAACAGGAAAGGAAAGTACTGACTTTGGCAGCACAAAAAAGAATTTTTATCTTTTAAGTCATTGAAAATGAAAACTTCAGGACTTTTCGTTACTGGGGGCCAGTGAAAAATTTATCAGGACCCTTTGTAGAACTGTCTGCCCTTTTAAGTTGGTATTTTACCTAGTTTATTTACTCTACCAGTATACACCTGATTTCTCAACTGGAACTTTCTCCAACATTACTTCTTGGCTCCAGAGAACAATAGTGGAAAAAGTAAATTAAGGACTAGTTGTAGTAAAAGATTACGTGGGGGTCAGGAGTGTTGGGCAACTAGTGAATTAAAGATATGAGGGAAAGTAGCCTGTGATGGAGCCCATATGAGACTTGAAGGGGACTGATGGACTGAAATAGAGGGGATTAAAGGTCGTGATGAGACAGAATAAAAGACACAGCAGGAGGCAGGTAGAAAGAATAGAAGATTGTAGGTAGAGGAATTTCAGTTTAAGGTCTAGGAAGAGGAAACTTAAGGAGTCCTTGTATTACCCAGCTTGTCAAATAATTATGTTGAGAAACAGGCCAAAATATTAGAAGGGTGAACAGGATGTTAAAATACCCATGATACTAATCTTCAACAACAGAGCACAACACTTTTGGAATCCATTTTCTGCTGTACCTTTGCTTATCATAGCAGATTTACCTTATGCCCTGAATGTTCCCCCTCCCTCACATGTCCCTAAAACTTGACTAGCAGTGGATGTGTAATTTAGTTTCAGCCTTCTAACTAAGAATGTTTTAAGGACTCATTTTACTTTCAGTCAATGAACTTTTGAGGTTTAGAGAGATTAAATAACTTTTTCTTTGGTCACGTAGCTTGTCAGTAGCAGAGTCAGAGATAGAAATAAATCTCAGTTTCCCATTTTTTGTCCATTCTACCAGTTGTCTGTCTTTTTTAAAGCATCATGAACCTTTCCTTCAAACTAATTTGTCGCCTCTTCAAATAGTGTAGAGAACAATACTTGAGTCTCAAAGAGGCACACAACTGAAAAGGGGGGTATACGACTCAGCACCTAGGGAAAGGGGACCAGTGTCAGTGCTGACTTTTTTTTTAATTGATGTATGCTCAGTTTACAATGTGTCAGTTTCTGGTGTACAGCATAATATTTGTCATACATATATACACACACTCATTTTCATAATCTTTTATTATAGATTATTACAAGATACTGAATAAGTTCACTGTGCTATACAGAAGAAATTTGTTGTTTATTTTATATATAGTAGTTAATATTTGCAAATCTTCTAGGAGCATCCATGTTGCTGCAAATGGCATTATGTTGTCGGTTTTTATGGCTGAGTAGTATTCCATTGTATAAAAATACCACATCTTCTTTATCCAGTCACCTGTTGATGGACATTTAGGTTGTTTCCATGTTTTGGCTATTGTAAATAGTGCAGAGCTGACCCTTGTGCTACATTCAGTTCATATTCTGCGGTTCCTTGGCCTTCCTGCCGGCAGTCAGCACTAACCAAGCCTTGACTGTCTATTACTGAGCTGTTCGTTTATTCAAAATAAATATTTTGAGAAACCTCTAAAGCCGTAGTTGTCATGGACTACTGTTCACACAGATTATCTGGAGATCTTGTTAAATGCTTGTTCTGATATAGTGGGGTCAGGAGTGCAATCCCAGATTGTTCATTTCTAACAAGGTACTGTGTATTGCCCTTGCTTCTGCTCCAAATACCATACTTTGAGTAGAAAAGCCCAAAAGACTTCTGGGGAACATAGTTTGAAAATGATTTAATCCATGGTATTGCCTCTGTTTTGGTTTCTTGAATCTACTAGATTTTGCTTAGGCTTGTTGTGAAGGTCTAGGAGTATGGATTAATATTCTGTAATGGTTTCCATTTACCAGGTAGTAGATATTAGCATTACCTGAGGCATCTCCAAAGTGGCTAACTCATGCTCTGCCTTCTAGTCCATGACTGGATCCTCCTGTGAGAAGGAATCAACTGTGTTTAACTGACAGTAGTAGTAACTTTCAGTCTGACATTTCTGTTAATGTTTTACCCAATTTCTTTCACTTCAGTTGATGTCACTGCTTTGAAGAAATGGTAGCTCCTTAAAAAAAAAAAAAAAGAGTCTGTTGGCACCTCTATTCTAGATCACTAACTTTGAACATTTTGTATACCATTTGCTGGGTTGGGGAAGAGCACCCAGTCCCTGGGAAATAAATGTACTTCTTTCTCCTGCTGCAGACTGTCATCCCTGCCTCAAACCTAAATAATATTAAGAACCAGTGGGAACTAAGAAAATGATGGTTAAGTTATCTGTGCTTGTGATAAAATAGTGCCCTTTCTAAGGCATTTGGAGTTTTGAGAATTTGACTATTTCTGCTTATACAGTGTAAGGACCTCTGCAGTTATTGAAATCTGAACCAGCATACCTAATAGTTTTGAATGGCCCCAGGATTTCTGTGCTCTTGTGTAACCCCTCACTCTATTTCTAAATGGGCTCTAAGGGCTGTATGTAAGACTCCACCTTAGGGCTGTTTATGTGTTTGAGAAAGCTGGCCAGAAACTAGGGAGCTTTTTTTAAGCTCCTAAACTTTTGCTCTTCCTGCTGGCTTTTTGTTAAATTCAAAGAACTTTTTTCCCGTTTCCCCTTTCCCTTTCTTTCCACCTCTTCTTACCCAGAATGAACACAAATGGATCTGACGAACCTGAGGATGCAGGGTCTGGTGAAAATAGGAGAGTCAATGGGAACAATTCTCCATCACTCTCAAATGGCAGTTTTAAACCTTCTAGGCCTCCAAGACCTTCACGACCACCTCCACCTACCCCACGTAGACCAGGTATGTATTCCGTCCATATACTAGGGTTATATGTAGCACACTGTACTGTGATTGTGAATAATATTCTGTTGGGGAATTGATCCTCAAGTAGGTGTCGGGAGACCCTTCTGGGTTGGTTTTCTAGCTATACTTCTACATTTAAGATTTTGGTCAAGACGTGCTTTCCCTAAGCTTTTCCCTTAGGGGTGAAGTTATTGAGGCAAATGCTCTACTTAGAATGAAAATCACATGTGTGCTATATAAACTATAGGCAGTACAGATAATAGTTAAATTTTCTGTCAGGATTTGTAACTATGTGGATCTAAGCATTTCAGAGTGAGGGATCTGGTTGCATATTCTCATTATATCTTTTAAAAAAAATCAGTAAATGACAAATAACCCAAAAATGCTAAACACTATTCAGATTTTAAAGCCGTATACAAATTAAATGAAATAGTAAAAATATAAACATTTACAGTTTAAATAATTTTTCCTGATTAGCCTGAATAAATCTTTAATCTTTGTTTATTTTCATCTGTTAGTATGTGGGCAGGAATGTAAATTAAGTAAACCAAATATTAGAAAAGTAAATTGGTTGTCCACAGATCATTTTATTAAATGACTGTGTTTAATTACACATCTTCCCCTTTTTTCTGTAGATAATTGTGTTAACAATATATTCCCAGTCTTTAAGATCATATACTACTTTGTCATAATATTGATTCCTTCCTCCAGGAATTGTTTTGTCAACAAGTATTTCTTGAAGATGTAATATGTACTTAATTTAATAACTGTTTGTAAGAATATTATGCTTATCAGTCAGATCTTACAGTACTACAGCTAACATCAAAAATTAGTCTCAGATCGGGGGTGAGTATAACTCAGTGGTAGAGCATGTACTTACAGTACCTACATTTAAAAAAAAAAGTAGTCTCACACCTATAGGGTTTCTTAGGAAAGACAACTTTAAGGATCTGGAAAATTACTATATGGACTTATGCCAAGGGATACCAGCACTTTTCTATTCTAAAAGTTTTTATTTCCTGTAGCATCAGGAAATCAGCATCTGTATTGTAATGAGAAATAGGATAGACAGAACCTAAAAAGTTGTAAAGAAGCCTATTAAGTGGAACCATTGTCTATTTCCCATTATTTATTTTATTTAAATAATTTTCACCTGCATATCCATGTCTTAAATTTTACATTTGTCATCTGCCTTTTTATTATTTTAACTTAAAATTCTATCCTGAATGTAGATTTGTGAAAATAAGAGATTGTTTTTCTGTTTTCCTCAAATCTTAAAGCATCTGTCAATGGTTCACCATCTACCACTTCTGAAAGTGATGGCTCTAGTACGGGCTCTCTGCCACCAACGAATACAAATTCAAATACATCTGAAGGAGCAACATCCGGATTAATAATTCCTCTTACTATATCTGGAGGCTCAGGCCCTAGACCATTAAATCCTGTACCTCAAGCTACCCTCCCACCTGGGTGAGTAATTGTTTTTGGTTAACATTTGTTTTTTTGAGACTTCTGCATGTATTTATTAATAAGGAAAATAGTACTGAACTCCATTCTTTAAAAACTGTTTTATAATTAAGAGAGAGAGAGAGAGAGAGTGTGTGTGTGTGTGTGTGTGTGTATGTATGTGTGTGTGTGTGGTGGTGGTGAGGTCTAAAGTGAAAATGAACAAAAAAATACTTGCCACATTTAAAATTTCTCCATTTTCAGAGCAAAGTGGAAGAATTTTTTTACTTTAATTGAAGGACTCTGAGCTGTAGAAAGTTAACCAAGGCCAAGTAATAAAATAGTTACCTAATTCAGATTGCCTTTTCTTTGAAGGGGGGAAAAATCACTTAAATTTTTTTTCCATCATAAAGTCATAGCAAAGTAATGATAATTTAGGAAACTAAGAAAATTACTTCTCAATCCCATTTAAATCCTCTGATTATCTTTAAAATGAATAGCATACTAATAGTTTATATATGTATATACATTGTGACATTCAATTTAATCCAGAGCTCAGAGTGCTAATCAAAATTAATTGAAACTTTCATGATGAGAATTTTGATTGCTGAACAAACTGTATTACTGATGTGGATAGTTAGGCCATTTTCCTTTTTGAAAGCCTACATTTGAAGCCAGGTTCGAAAGTTGTTTGTACAAGGGATTAGCAAAGAGAAACTGAGTGGGTGCTGTTAGAAATGATTGTATGTTGTAAACTCTGATGATTTATTCCTGTCTTTTTCATTTTGGGGATAAACCCATCAAGGAGACTAGAATACTAGAGACTGACTTGTCCATCAGACTATGCAGGAACACATTTGATGAAGTTTTATTCTTTGGTTTTCCAGAATCCAAACTGTCCTTTGCCCTTCAGTTAACAACTCAGTCTTTGTTCAGGTTTTAAAACATAGATTATGGTTTTCTTTTCCACTTAAGTCCTTTGTATACCTGATGAAATTGAGATAGACTTTGTCTCTTCAGTGCGTTGCCTCAAGCCTCTTTAGAAATCTCTCAGGGCACATACTTCTGCAGAAAAATCTCATCCACTGTGTGTCACTCTCAGGATTACATTTCTCGACTTTATTCGTAAATTTTTTTGGTATCTGCTTTATATAGTAGCCTGTTTGTTTCACTTCTGTAACATGGTTATATAAGAGAAAAAGACAAAGACAGGATTAACCACAGCCAAGCTACTCATACAAGTACCATATCAGCCTTTTAAATTCTGTGTTTAAGTTGGGAGCAGAGAGTGGACCAGCATGGACGAGTTTACTATGTAGATCATATTGAAAAAAGAACAACATGGGATAGACCAGAACCTCTACCTCCTGGGTAAGTAATCTGAATTAAAGAAGAAAAAAGTATTGTTCAGAATATAGATTCTATCTGTATAGAATCTTCCCTACATTCCTGCTTTCCTCTTCCTGTCAGTCTTTTCTCTATCTACTTTGTTTTTGGTGTAGGTGCAGACTAGAAAGAAGAGAGTCAGGGAACTGATTGACACTGATGAGTGACTTCTGTTTTTACTCTTTTCTGATCTAAAGAGTCCATAGGTCTTGTTATTTCCAAGTTTTCCTTTGTGAACATTTACCTGGCTCAAACCGCAGGGTTTTTAAGATTAGTTTCTTTTAACTGAATAAGAATTATATAGCCCCATCATATATATGAGGATAAAGTCCTTATTATAAAAAGCTAATATATACTAGTGAAGTTGTTGCAAAATAGTTGAGGAAATAAAAGATATAGTAATACATACTGTTAAGCATTTAGCATTTCAATTATCTAAAAATAATTGGAAGAAAAAAGTTTTTATTCAAGGCAAGTCAGTAGTAAACATGGGAAGGAAAGTATTTAATCTTGCCAGTAATCTTAAATACATAGCTAAGAGGTACAACTTTACTTGTTAAATTAGCAGATAATATCCAGTGTTGATGAGGTTGTGGAGGAACTTTACCTCATAACATTGCTGGTGGCAGTGTAAAATTAGTTACAGCTCTCACAGAAAAAGTGTGTGTAACTGTAATAATACACATACCCTTAGTAGTCCTCTCCAGCAAATTTATCATAAAGAAATAATGCAAAGGAAGAAAAAAATTTTTGTTACATAAAACGTGCTTATTATCTTAGTACAGTTGGCCTTCTGCATGCACAGGTTGAAATTTTGGGGATGTTCCAAAGCGCAAAATACAAAAGAAAAAAAAAATTGCCAAGGCTTGAATTTGCCAAGCCGTGGCAACTATTTACATAACATTAACATTATACTTACAACTATTTACATATTACTTATATCATATTAGGTATTATAAGTAATCTAGAGATGAAGTATATAGGAGGATGTGTGGAGGACGTGGATAGGTTGTATGCAAATACTATGCCATTTTATAAAAGGGACTTGAGAATCCGGGGTGTCCTGAAACTATTTCTTTATTAGAATATTGAAAAAAACCCTAAACAATCAACTAGGTAGAAGTCACCAATATATTTTATCAACATTTACCTAGTGTTATATGTTATACACCCACTTGAAATGATGAATGAGTTGTGTTCTTGTGGAAAAGTGCTTTTTTGGACATCTGTGAAAAGCTACGTATACAAATGTGTCCCTTTAAGGATTGCAGCAGTTAAAAGAACATTTGGAGGAAGGAAAATTATAGCTTTTGTCTTAATAACTGTTTGAGACTTAAAATACATTGTTTTACAAACCTGACAGATAGATCTTAACTTTTAAGAAAGAAATTTTTAGAAACATTCTTCTTAAGTTCACTTATAGACCATTTTAAAGTACGTCAAAGACTTGAGGTAAACCAAAAGTAGCTTTAAAAGGTAAAATCTTACAATACCTGCACAAAGGCTCAGATGAAGTCCTGTTTAATTCTTACCTATTTCACAAGTATTTGTTGAATCTGGTTGTTTTTGTCCTGGTGTAGTTGGGAACGGCGGGTTGACAACATGGGACGTATTTATTACGTTGACCATTTCACAAGAACAACGACGTGGCAGAGGCCAACATTGGAATCTGTCCGGAACTATGAACAATGGCAGCTCCAACGAAGTCAGCTTCAAGGAGCTATGCAGCAGTTTAACCAGAGATTCATTTATGGGGTGAGTGGCCTGTTGCATTATAAACTTAAGGAGTGTTTGATTTTTAACCTTTTCCTGAACATGAAGTGTAAAGCACTAAAAAGAAGGTAAAAGTAGGATGTCAACCCAGTTGTTGCTGTTAATAGATATTATTTTTAGACCTTGTCTCGTTTTCTATGTAAGGTGATCTTTTCTTTTTGAAATTTCCTGTAGTTCAACCTCCTTTGCTTTGTTACTATCAAAAATAAAACAGTTAAGACAACTTAAAATTCATTTACAAAAGAATAGTAAAAACAAATCCAAGTAGTTTGAAAAGAATTTAAAACAGTTCTAAATTTAATTCTGTCCAACTCAGCAGAACATTAGATGGCTTGGGTCTAACAGCACCTGACTCAAGTGGTTGTGCAGAACTGATGATAGAATTGAATCATTTTGTAACATATAAATGTAAAGTTTATCTAATAAATTATTTAGTGCCCTTGGAGACTAAAGAAACTTGTTTTCTTATAGGATTATGTTAAATATATTACTCTGGCTTCAATACCATATTACTTTGATATAAAAACATCTCCTTGCTGGAAATGGTTTAAATTACACACATTTTCCTTTAGCGTAATGTTGCAGTAATAGTGATAAGTACACCAAAATGTATTGTTTTGTTATGCCACTGTTGGTGCTGGGAATTTTACAGTCTCTCAAATCATGAAGTATCAATGATCTTTGTTTAAGGAGAGGCAAATAGTCCTTGGAGAAATCTGATTCTGTGTGCCAAACAAGGAGGATTTGTTTAGGTAATACATAGAACTTAAAGAGAAGAAAACCAACTCTCCAAGAGTTCAGAAGAAGCTGACCCTCTCCATTGCCACCTCTTCCCTTTTAGTACCATCAATATCATCCCCATTAGAATCCATCAGGGTAAATTACTGTCCTCATTAGGCATTGCCTTTTTTGCTTTTTTCCCTTTTCCTATTTCTTGCACCACGCCACCATAATAATTATCACTCACTGATGTAGACAAATTTCACCTTTATCAGCCGCTTTTCCTTCACCACCTGATTATGGTTAAGGTAACTTTTTTCATGTAACAGTTTTTCCTGCCACCATCTGTAGACAACTGTCACTATCTTCCCATTTCCAGTGGTTTTAGAGGTGAAATTAATTTTTGTCTCATCTACTTTACCCTTTTCGTATTTTATTCCAGTGCTGTTTTACACCTTCCTTTCTTTCTAAATTATAATCACCTTTGGTATGCCTGGCCAAATTTCTTTTAGGTGTGAATGCCTGGCTTGCCTGCCTTCTTTAAAGCTAGTTTCCACATGGGTGTCCAGTGGAAAGAGCATGGGCTTTGGAGTCAGACACATCTGGGTTCGAATCCTGGTTCCACAGTTACTTTCTCTATAAGACTTTGAGTAAGTTACTTAACCTCCTCAAGACTCATTTACCTTATTTAAAAAAAATTTATGTATATTTACATAATTACCTCAGCGGGTTTTTTCTTTTTTCTGTTTTTTTTTAGGATTCTGTAAAATTAAGTTCCTAATATGTTTGGCACATGCTGGATGCATAGAAATGTTAGTTTTCATCTTTTTTCTCCCTCATATCCACAATTGTAGGGATGCACTATATCTCAGTTTTACCATACATGATCTTTTACTTTATTTTTATTGAAGTATAGTTGGCTTATATTATATTAGTCTCAGGTGTACAATGTGGTTATTCAGAATTTTTACAGATTATATTACACTTAAAGTTATAAAATATTGGCTATATTCCTTGTGCTATACAATATATCCTTGTAGTTTGTTTATTTTATACATAGTAGTTGTATCTCTTAATCCCTTACCCCTATCTTGCCCCTCTCTCCTTCCCTCTCCCCACTCCCCATAGTTTGTTCTCTGTATCTGTGAATCTTCTTGTTTTGTTCATTCATTTTTTGTATTTTTAGATGATATTTAAATAATATCATATAGTATTTGTCTTTCTCTGTCTCTATTTCACTAGGCATAATACCCTCCAAGTTTGTCCATGTTGTTGCAAATGGCAAAATTTCATTTTTTAAAAAACGGCTGAGTAGTATTCCATAGTGTATATATACACATCGTCTTTAGCCATTCATCTGTTGATGGACACTCAGGTTGCTTCCATATCATGGCTATTGTAAATAATGCTACTGTGAACATTGCGGTGCCTGTATCTTTTTGAATTAGTGTTTTTATTTTCTTCAGATGTCTACCCAGGAGTGGACCTGCTGGATCATTTGGTGGTTCTATTTTTAGTTTTTTGAGGAACCACAATACTGTATTCCAAAGTAGTTGTACCAATTTACATTTCCACCAACAGTGTACAAGAGTCCCTTTACTCCACATCCTTGCCAACATTTGTTATTTGTGATCTTCATGATAATAACCATTCTGATAGGTATGAGGTGATATCTCATTGTGGTTTTGATTAATGATGTTGAAGATCTTTTCATGTGCCTGTTGGCCATCTGTATGTCTAGTACACAATCTTTTAAAATGCTCTTTTTAAAGACAGATTTAGCAAATTCCTGGAGAACCTAGAATATCTATTGCTTCTTTGTAAACTCGACCAATTCAGTACTCAGAGTCTTTGGCACTTTTCTTGAATTGCAGCTTTTACTCACCATCCATGTTCTCCCTCCCTCCCCCCATCCAAATTCTTACTCTGTGTTATAGGATGCTTTGAAATCATAAATAACTTAAAACAGCATATTTTAGTTGCCCTTAGCATAATATAGCAAGCAATATGAACTGAAGTGAATGAATTGAACTTTCTTTTTTCCTTCCTCCCCCAACCCCTGCCCCCTTTCTCTTTCTTTCATATATCTACCTCCCTGTTTTCAAAAAGATCTCATACCTGGTTTGAAGCCTTATTCTGAATTAAACATTCTTAATACCAGCTACTTAAAAAGTGGTGGGTGTTGCTTAGAATGTCTTTTTGTTGAGAATATGAAGTGGGCTTTGTTCTGACCCTGGTTACAAGACAATAGATGCTCATATGCCTAGCATTTTTAACTTCAGAATGGATGTAGTTGATGATGGATCGTGTGTAATGGCTCTTCGTGGCCCATGGCTTCATTGTGCCTGTCTCAACCTTATCTGTCTGGGGACAGTGAGCCAGTGGGATAGGCTTAGGTCTTAGACAGTTTTCAAAGCAGCTTGTTATATACCAGACTTCTCAGACCTGTTCTACAATCAGGGTTCAAACCTTGTATGGTATTTCGCCTTGTCTTCCCTACTCTCCTTTTCATAATTGTGTTTATCGGGAGGAGCAAGGTCAGTTTTTGACAAGCGTATCTTCCAAGACTTTTAAATCAGAAATGAAATATCTCTTATGCTTTTAAAACTTTTTCAGTTAGTTAACTCAGTTTCTATAAGTTAGTGACATGGAGAAAAAGAGAGAGACAGTTGGGGAGCTGTTATAGATTGAGACTTGAGACTAAACCAAATGCAATGTGAGGACTTTGCTTACTGGATCAAATCAGAATCCAAACAATTAGAGGCATTTAATTAGGGATTGTATATTTGATGATAAAATTAAAAGATTCTTTGCTATGTGTGATAATGATATTGTGGTTGTATAAGAAAATGTTCACAAATTTTGGAAAGACATACTAAAATACATAGGAGTGAAATGATGACTGATTTTTGCTTCCTCAAAGAATAGGGGAAAAAGATAAGACATATGGCATTTTAGATAATTGTTGAATCTTGGTGCTGAGTATATGGGGTGCACTGTCCTATTTTACTTGTGTATTTTTTCCCTTAAAAAAAATATCTACTTGCCTTATCTTTCTAAAGAGGAAAGGGCTAATAACTACATCTTACTGAGAGACCAAAAAGTACTCCCCACTTTATTATGCATATAAATTAAAACGCACTCATTATTCCTACACCATGCACAGTCAGTATGACTTTTACTTCTCTTTCTCTAATGGTTTACTCCTACTTTCCTTTTATCTAACCAAACCTCTCTCTATGCATGTGATAATTGCAAACAAATTTAAGAAGTCTCCTGTAAAGTACTGGGCTTGTCAATTCCTTTCAACTGGAATTGTTTCCTGTTACTCATCTGACAGCCTATTCTCCCTGCTCCAACTCTTTTCCCACAATTCTTTGTATATCCCATATTCTGTATATGATCCTTTCTTTTTGAGTTAGTAATAGAAGATTTTTCTTAGCCAGCTAATGGCTCAATACTGTTATTTATAAGTGACTTTTGGGCAAGTGTCATATATTTCTCTAATCTACTGATTTGTAGCTAAAGAAGGAAAAAAATGGTCATCTGGGTGTAAAATTATTTGTAATATTTGAATTTCAAATAATTTCAAATGTTGACGAAGATTTTTTTCTCCACCAGCGTGTATTGGCATTTATCCATGACTATGCAGTACTTCTCTTAAGAACTCTGTTAAGAGTGTGTTTTGTTGCACATGGCCAGGAAAGGCATGTCAGAACTCATAAGGCTTGCTCTTGAGTTATCTGTTTAAGTTGTTCATTATTTTCACATTTTTTTGTTGTTGTTGCTGTTCTTTTTAGAATCAAGATTTGTTTGCTACATCACAAAATAAAGAATTTGATCCCCTCGGTCCCCTGCCACCTGGATGGGGTAAGTCACATGAATTTTTAAAATTGAATTCAGTTATTTTAATGATCAGGTGTTTATGGGTAGATGGTACACTCTGCTCTTGCTTGAGTGAAATTCTAGGAAGCTTTTTGGGTGTGTTGCTTAATTCACAGTACCAAATTGGCATTAAATTTCCCCAAAGTTTAATTTTACTCTTCTAAAGTTGCTGAGTTGATTGAGTTGATGTTACCTGAAAGATCAGTGGAAGGGGGGAGCTTGTTAAGGTTATCAAGGACCTTAGTTATTAAAACTTTGTTAATGTTAATAGACTTTAAGATAGGCCTCCCTACCAGATTCTGTTTTATAGCCATTATGTAAGTCATAGAGCTGTAGCAAGTTTCTAGAATAAATATAGCAATATAGAAACAGTTTTGCTTGGAAGAAAAAGAATACAGAAAGTGGAAAACAGCAAAGTAAAGCTGTTTATGGAACTAGTGTAAGTTTTGTCTTTAAGAGCTGCAGATATTTTATAATATTGGGGTTAAGTCAGAAAGTGATATTTCTGGGTAGTCTTGGGAAGCATTGATCTCCAAGATAGATTGCTCTAGCATTACATACTGAAGAATGTTGGATGAAATTGATATGTCAAGGTCACATGAATCTGGGTCATAAATGGCTGTGAGTTTACCTGCCTTTCAGTTACCCCATTGCCCTTAAGGTTATTTATCCCTGACATTCCTGTGAGACAAAGAGGTAAAAAATGTAGTAATTCATACTTAGAACTGTTATTGTTGCTAGCTTGTAACAAAGGGAAGGCATATGAAAGTTGTGAATTTCTGTCTTCACCAGTGTCTGGCAGTCTGGTAAAGAGCCTTTTGATTCTGTTTGAGCCTTAGAGTGGAAAGCGTATGGTTGGTATGAAGTACTTTAGAAGGAGGGATATTGCTCTTATGAGGCATACTGAACTGGAGCTGTGAGATTGCATTCTCAGACATAGATGATCTTAACAGCTTTCTTGCTAGAGTTGTCTTACATTCATGTTGCAGAGGAGTAATTGATACACTGAAAGGATATACCTGAAGGTCATGTATTTATCCTTTTAATTTTATTGCAGAAAAACCATGACCTGATTGGCTTTTGTTAGAAATGCAAACTATTTTACTCCTTCTTCAGGGCAGCTTTAAGAAAAATTGCTTCTTGCTTACGGAAGCATGAATTGCAGGCTATGTCACCTTTATTTGAAAAGCTTTTCCTGTAAACCTGATCCTTGTCTTTTGTGCTTATCATTATCCTCATCATCTGAATCTTTTTTATTTTTGCTTTAGCCAACACCACCTCCCTATTTCCTCTAAAGACCCAATCCCAGCTTATCTGCATTATCAGAATCTTGCCTTGCTTATTTTATTCACATTCTGCTTATTTTTAGGTTTCATAGTCCAGGAATTGAAAAGTGTCCTTCTTCCTAAATGAGTTCATGATCATCCTAGTATTCAGACTGAGCACTGCTTTATGACTCTGTCTTTGGGGCATGTGCTTTATTTGTTGGAGCTAGTGACAGCAGTGGTAGTAGAACAGATGAGAACCACTTGCTACACCTGCAGGATTGACCCAGGAAATAAAATCCTAGTTAACCTACTGTGTTGATGTTCTGAAATTGTCAGCATTATTTCTGTAATGCCATATATATTTAAATTCAACTTCTTCACCCGTTTAAGAGTTTTATTTGCTAGGACTAGACATTATCACTTTATAAGCTGACAGTGAAGAAATTTTAACACATGCAAATCATAGAGGCTGGAGAACAAAGAATGCTTTGGGTTCAACAATGTAGTCTAAAAGGGCTTTGTATAGCTGTTTTTACCCATCAAGGGTAAAGCTGTTTTCTCATTTTCAGAGCTGTTATGAAAGAATACATAGAATAACAAGAAGATTCTGTTTTTGTAGTGTTTTACTTATCATGTCAGGAAGTGGTCTGATGTGCATACAAGTTTGATGTTCAGTAATTTCAGAATTGTTTATCATGTAATTTTTCAACAAAGTGAAAACTCAGCTTTATAGTCACAGTACTTCTCATTAAGCACATAAGCCTTTAGTTTGCAAGTGCATCTACCTTTGAAAATTTGTTTTTCACAGCCTCTTCGAAGAAATGCTGATATCAGCAGTATATACTTAGAATTAGCACAGACATAAGTTGTCTATTAACCTTATCTTCCCTCACGTTAGCTTTTGAACAGAGCATATCAGGCCCTGAAATCTGAATTTACATGGCAGTTAAAAGAGGAATATATGCTCAGCTATGCACTTAGGATATTAATTTTTGATTATAAAAGTTATTTAAAAATGATGTGTATATAAGAAACTTACAGATTGCAAGTATATTTTAAAATTTAAATTTAATGTGATTGCCAGGAACATTAACTTACTTTATTATCATGTAGCTAGCTGTAGCACTGTGGGTGCTTCTTTTTGCCTCAGAGACAACCTTAAAGTTGGTTACATGTTCCCACACTCAAGATGTCATGACTGGGAAAGCCACTGTTAATATTCAGGGTGTGTCACAAGATGCCACCCATTTTTCTGTGTATTATATACATCAGAAGTTCTATTTCAATTTTAGGCTCAGCTCAAGTAGAAAGTAGCTGAGATGTCAGGAGCAGGTTTATGATACTCACCAGTATATCCCCTCTTGATTCCCCGTATCATCACTGCTACTTGGAATCATGGATTCAGTGCTGGGGATAAGTTAAAAAGTACTGAACACTAATTTGACAAGGCTATATAATTTGGCCTAACACTTATTCTGCAGTATCTTACTTAAAGATCCAAAGGATCTAAATAAATGTTGTTGGAGAAATAGATACCAACTTTTCGAAACAGAGAGAATAAAAATTGGCTTTATCACCATGGAGTTAAGCTTAAATTTTTGTTTAAAGTTGCTATTTTTAGAAACTGTGTTTTGTAGAAAGTTGAAATCTGTTCTATAATCTTGAGTACTTCAGTTATTCATTTTGAGACATATTGGCCAAATTTTAAAAGTTCAGACTCATGAAGAGACCTATCTTCTAGAGAATTTGAATTAATTTGTAGTGGAACAGAGACGTCAATAGTTCAAAACAACAGAACTAATGTTAATATTAAAAGTTCACATTAGAATTAATATCCTAAGTGCATTAGCTAATGTTAATATTAAAATTTCAAAACCGTTTGGTTTTAAAAGAGAAAATGATATCCACACACCTTCTCAACCTTAATGAGAAAGCTCATGGAAGCAGGGAAAATTTTGTAGTTTGGGAATAAGAAAACAAGGAGAATCCTAAAGCAAGAGGCAGGTGAGGAAACTAACAGCTGCTTCAGATGCAGTAAATTAAAGAGCTGAGCCCTGCTTCCCATCTCTTGTGTAGAAAGTTACTATAGATACTTAGGATTTAGGAACTGGTTGTATTAAGAAACAAGATATTTTTTGAAATAGTGTCTTCTCCAGTTGAATAACATCTAGCATATAACAAAGAAACAATTAAGTTATATCCCCCACCCCCGTTACATTTTTTAAAAATGAGATGGTGTGTTGTGAAAAAAACCTCTGAATGGAGATGTGAGTTTCCATCCTATAGCTGCTACTTAATTTTGCAAGTTGGGGCAGATCACTCAACCTGTCTGAAATTCCTTATTTTTAAAGTATGTGAAAACTGCCTATTCCATGGAACATGTGTGCAAAGTTAAAACAGTTAATTATTCTTGGTTGGAATGAGCAGAAAGGTCCTATATGCAGGATATTGTGAATTAAGTCTATTTAGCTTCTAGGATATAATGATATATTTGTAACTGTAGTAAGTATGCAAATTTAATAGTGAAAGATTAAATTGAACCTTTCAAAATAGTGATTTAAAAGCTACAAAATCAACAGTGCAATGAGAAATGGCAAAGTCAGCTCATCTTATTTTAGTCTGAGGAAGAAGACTATGCCAACTCTAATGCTTTGC